GCATGTTGCAAAAGATATATGACTGATAAATTTCAACCAACTAATCGATCAACAAATAAACAAACAAACACAGCCTGCTGTGTGATTCTGACGTCATCGTTATTCTTGTTCTAAACTAAAACAATGGGTGTTAAATAATGTATACATGACTAATTTATTACTAGTACCTTATTCATGGGTCATTTTCATATTCGTCCTATTTTATGTCATACTTCTACTTCGTGTAGCTTTCTTTCACGATAGGTGTAAAGTTGTTGACAATTGATTAAAAAAGAAACATTGATGACGTTGTAAGAAACCATCATTTCGGAATCTGGAAAAAATACGAAAAAGCAAAATCCCAATCGATGCTTAGCACATTGTTACAATATGAGCTGTATGGTAACGAGGCTGGCAAGCAGCTATAAAACGTCAGGTAATGATAGTTACGCATTTACTCTGTGACTAAGCTTCATCTCATCCACGCTTCCCAACTATTACGTCATTAGATTTGCCGCCACTTTTACAAAGGTAAGCTAGCCAAGATTTGATTTGTTATAGTAATTTAGTCACTTATATTGTTGACATTTCATTGACGAAATTACATCCATGTTCCTAATTTGTTGACAGTCTTTAATATTTGATACATAGCAATTGCGATCATGGCTGAAACTGTAAAAAAAATATGCCAGTGCCGCGAAATGAAGTTTGCAATAAATATGTGTTTATGTGCTGCAGCAATATAAATTATTGTCACTAACAGCATGTACAAGATGTCAACAAACAGTGATCAAATTATTTCATCTGTAATATTTGGGTTCGATTGATTTATCTCAATCAATAACTGAAATCTATCCAGTCAAGTAATATATTGTGACGACACAAGTTATCGACACAAGATTCATGAATATCTTACGGGCTGTTTTGAAAATACCACTGTATACAGCATGTGTGAATATTAATTCCGTGATTATTCGATTAGTTCTGTGTATAGGACACAAGTGTACAGATATGATTATATCCGGGAATAGCACCAGTCACACCCAACAAGTAGGCAAACAATCTTAAATTTAACTATACCAAAATGGGTATTGTATGAATGTATTTATTTCAACTAAACCAATAATTCCCATTCGTAAATTTTGTTAACAGAAGACCGCCACAAGTTTCTTTATGAGACGTTGTAATGAAATGGATATAGCAACATCCAAAACTATATCCAAATCCACAGGCAAAAGACAATCAACAAATACGTCACGTACATACGCACATATTAACAACTTAAGAGAAAGATATATAGAGCATACGGTAAACATGTAGTGATGTCACGTGGTTCGTGTAGAGTGAGCAAATCTTACTTCACATGTATCGTTCTGAGTCATAATCAAAACGTTTTTGATTTAAACCTGAGGTTCACACGTGACGAGTTACATTGATCACTTTTACCATATATTTGTGAAAGTTAGTATGGAGCGGAAACAGTTATTGCTAATTAATTATAGCAATGACGTAACACAATATGGTCAATGATATTTTATAAAATGTGATGTCAGCATGTTAATATACAGACGAGAACGTTAACGACCACATTCCATTCTTGAGTCATAAATCGTAAAATGCTTGATATCATATGGCGGTAATAAAGACAACCCTAAACATAAAACTATTTGCTTGTTTCAATGCTGCCTCAAGAACAATTTAGGAAACAATTTGTAATTGTATTTGAATATATCGAAAATTATGTTGACTACAGAATGACACTGCCCCAAAGGAGATAATATGTAATTTATTAGATACTTATAAATATGATCAAAAATTAAATCAGGCAGATGTAGAGATAACAGATAAAGCGATGGAAATGAAAAAGGCATCATTTTGATGGTGATCTCTATGTATATATGTCGTAATTGTAATTTGTTTTTACTCTGGTATATATGAATTATGGTATGTAAACTGACATTTGAATATCGAGGAGTGAAAAGCATATGAAACACGCAGTTATGACGAAATTACTTCCTTATTTTTAATTAAAATTTGTGAGTGGACAGTAATTGAATTGGTCATCTGAATAGCCTTAGGTGTCCATGGTTGCAATGCAAGGGTACATGTCATGTTACTGCACACGGTCGATTGAATAAATCATTTTAACTTTCCAACGAATAAGTGTATTCAGTATTACTAAGCATTGCTCAACTTCCCTCGTGTCAATAATGACACATTCCGTTGTGCTGGTTACATATTACAACATTCGAAATCCAATTTATTTTTAAGTTTCTATTGTTCCGATAAAAAAGCGGAACTCGCAGTTCATGTGAAGCCCATACTTTGACAAGCCTCGATTAGTGCTTATAAGTTCGAATTGTATATCTCAATTGATATACACAATATTCTAGACAACATATATGAAATAGAATTTAAAATGAAAAGAATATGAAATATGAATCTGAATATGAAATAAAAGGATGTATGATTTAAATGTTTTTGTTGAACAGATAAATCAATTAACTCCACTATTGTCAGCTAAAATATTAGTACGATATGTATTAAACGAAATTACATAGTAATAGTTATTTAGGGTTTGTTTCAGCTTTTTATGTGTAAGGCCTGTTTATCGCTAATGAGAAGGAACCCGCAGGACAGTGAGTTCTTTCACTGCTAGTATGGGGTAGACAAGACAATAGTACTGGAAATGAAATACGCATACACCAAAATATCGAAAGCTCCTGGCTTTAATACCTCTCAAAATAATTACAAGAAATAAAGCACAGAAAAATACAATGAATAAAGTTACTAAAATAGGGGATTGCTTAGGGGGGGTAATGCACTGGGTATTTTCATCCTACCATATTAGAAAATGCGAATTCTAATAGTGAAAACAAGCATGGCGGCCCCAAGGGCGTCGGACCAGACCCCACACAAAGAAGTTCGCTAGATCTGTTCTAAACTTTTTAGATTTCGGCATTCCCATGATGTATCATTGGGAGGAAAAGATGTATAATAATGAGGTTATGACGAGAATACCGCAAATACTAATACATAATGGCGTGCATGCATGCAGGTGATATTGGTGTGCCCAACAAATACCTTGGTTATCCATATAATTATAGATTTTACCATTGTCCAATTCAATGACTTAAAACACAGATAAGACATTTTTTGAAACTTTTTTTATTTACTTAATGTGCTTATCAAAATATCAGTTTCTTGTTCCATTACCCTCTAGTCAGTAGAAAGGTAATTTAACTATCTATTTAGAATAACGACAATAACGTGTATAACGTGCCTATAGCACACATTTTCGAGAAAAAAGTTCGTTTTTTCAGTGTTTCAGTAGATAATATGTTATAGTGACAGTGCATGTGACAGTTTATTGTTTATACTCTTTATGGGTATAAATATGTACATATTTTTTGGATTCATTTTTTTTAACTTCTGTGAAAGAACAGTTTGTTCTTGCCATTGAGCCTGTGCATTTTATTCCTTGATAACAGCGTTTTTTACAAAACAATCTTTCAACCAACTGCTTGTCTTTGTCTCCTTTTCAGTTGATACTAATTTCTAGTGACTAATATGCCAATAAGAAAAAAACATAACTGGGATATTATAACAAATTAATTCATTGGGTTGACAGTGTACTATTGTTTTATTTTTAATTTACATAGTATATCATTTATTCTATTATCTTATAGTTCTTCGGACTAAGCAACAATGGAGTTGGCGTTGTTTATTGTAATCGCCTTATCGATGTCAATGGAGTATGTACAGGCAAAATCTGAAATGGCAGAAATCAGGCGTGGTAAGCCAAAAGATGTGATTAAAAATGAATACCTAGTGGTCATGAGAGTAAGTATATATTTTTATAGAGAAAATCTTCAAGAACACACTAAAATATTAGATTTAATTTAAGATATTGTAGGTTTACAAATTTGATAACCTATTATATCTGTTTTACGAAAATGGAATTTATGTGCGCGTAATATATAATCCATAGAGCGTCATTTGCATAAACAGTCACCGTTAACGAGCAGAAATAATGGTCAATTTACATGCATGAGATTATTAAATATGATTTGATGAATTTATAACATTATTATTAATTTTGGATTAAAGTCAATAAATAGCCTACACATAATCCATAAAAAAGTTGCTTGACTTCGTTGGTCACTGCAAATGACAAATCATTAGCAGACAATCGACAGTACATGATTATATCTTCAAGTTGATTTTTACTTAAATTTAAATAAAAAATACTCACAAGTATTTACTAGTCATGTTTTATAATAATTCGATAACATTCATAATCGAGCTATTGCGGCCACAGATATTTTATCTTTTTCAACTTGCTACATCTCTTTTTATTACATTGTTTTATTACATTGTTTTATTACATTCTATGCAAAGGTCTATGCTAATCACGCTGGTACTGACTGGCTTGTAATTTTATGATTGTGATTGATTTATTTCCAATTTGCTATCACAATTACAATTATCTTTTCAATTAATAATGCAATAATGTTAACAAAGATCGCACAATTCGAATTACTTGAATTCATACGTCGATAATGTATGAATATTGTAGATGTATATGCAAGTAAATGTAAGCCATGGACGTTTTTAATCGACATTGTCAACACTATCATTCTATGTACATCATTAATTATTGGATGTACGTTACCCGAATAGTAACTATTCAATAGTGAAACTACAATCTCCGAGGCCACTACAAACTTTGAATATTACATGTCATGCTGTAAATATATTTCTAATATGGATGTTTAAATACTATTTATAGGATAATGCAACTGAGTTGGACATTGAGAATTCAATTACAGAGCTTGAGACAATGCCTAGTACGTTAAATAAAACTTTCAAGTCATACTCTAAAGCGTTAAAAGGGTTTGCTGTTCGCATTGACAGTGAACTTGAGAAAGAGGTAAGTTATATCAAAGTTTGTGTAATACCCTTTGCCTTCATTAATAATAATTCTTTAATCAACTCCGTCGTAGGTGTAAATTACTTATCCTCATTAGTTCATGGTTGTTTCCATATCAACCAGATCCGGATGTTTTCCAACATTTATTCAATTGGTAACTATTTCAACCACATCCATAACCTTTTGACTTATAAGGCCAGACTTTTTTATTCCTTGTTTTTCTAGTTTTTATAAAGCAATTTATTTTGAGGAGAGCGGAAAAAAATAAAATTAATTCTTTTTTCCCATTAGATTTGTGTGATTCTCAAAGAATTGTAAGTGAGATCATTGATCGGAGAGAAGAAATGAAATAATATTTTATTCCATGTATAACCTTGTTTCTCATCTGCAAGTGACTTCGGTACTTTGATCATGATACTCCCACGAAAATGCAACTTGGGTTTGTTATGCGGTGGACGGAAAAAAATGAAGATAAAAATATTTTTTTAGAGATTTTTTGCACTTACAAGTCGGCGGGCGCGAGAAATTACGCTGAAATAAAATTTTATTTTTATTTCATTTTCGGCTCCTGTTCATTCGGCGGGTTTGCGAAACAAGGGATAATAATAGTCTGGCCTAAGTGACAAATCATTTCCAAAATCGCTGTTTCTATAGCAACTGTATCCACACCTGGATCCACAACAAAATAGTTATCCCACTGACAAATAAACACACTGAAACAAAATCCGGCAAAAACATAACCTTCTTGGCGGAGGTAATTATGTCTTTTATAGATTGTGGATGTAAACATAACACAATTAGCATATGTCAACATCATTGTATATGTCACTGTGTGACATGTATGACACAACGTCATTGTATATGTCACTGTGTGACATGTATGACACAACGTCATTGTATATGTCACTGTGTGACATGTATGACACAACGTGGAAAATGATGTATTTGATAATGTATATAATTTTGAGAGTAGCCACAAACATCTAATCTGCCTCGGGTTTGAATAAGAAATATAATTGCCAACTATTCTGCATTTTAATTGGTCTTAACATTTGAGCCTTAGTATCGTATCACAGTAATATACCTTCTGTGATTTTTCCAGTTTATGCTCACACTTTAGGTGTAAAAAATGTCAATATTGATCAAAATTCTAATATAAGATTGAATGTAACTTTTTACAGAAAGAAATTGAAATTGCTCAAAACTTTAGGATAAAAGGGTGAAATCAATTAATTCTTGAAATAACATACTTTTAATGACTTTAATACTCCTCATCGCACATGCATTTAGAACTGAAAATTGGTCTAACATTTTAGAATTGGTCAAAAACAAATACCGTAATTTTAGGAGTAGGAGTGAACGCCAGCTTTGTGTTTGTATCTAAGGTCAAAATATAGGAACACAAAATGGCAAAATAATCTAATTTGATTAACATATTTGTTGATGTAACAATTGGTACGTTACTAGCCTTGATATTTAATTCATCTAATTGGCGGTTTTACAATTTTTAATAAAAATGTTCAACCTTCACTAAAAAATAATACTCTTTGACATATGTGGCATATGATCATATCTCAAAAATCAAATATATAAAAATATGAAATTGGTCAAAATTTCCTAAATTACACTTGCATAAATGTTTCTTGGACAGACTAGTCGCTGTCTTTTTCTAAAACTATTACTTTTGGCAAATTTACAATCTTAAACCATGAAATGGGTGGACCTTTGTGTCTACTGTTCTCAAATATTGTGCTTAATAACATTCACATACAGGGGTGCATATTTGCATATTTGTGTTATGATCGCATGAAATCGCTCTTGTAGTCACACTGAACAAGCTCTAGGAAAGACAATAATACCGTAGCTACAATAAGAGTAAGAACTAGTTTTCAAACTTTCAGTCAGGTCAAAGTGTAAACACAAATTACTCAGTAAATATTGACCAAATATAATTGTTGTGTTTATTAATCCCCTTTATGCAGTATTTTAATTAGTGTCATTGTCTTTAAAAATCAACTATTGAATAATCGATTTCAATTCAAATTTTCTGAATTTCGGGTTCTTTTAACATGTGATATCGTATCGCTATGTCTCCATTTAGCGCTCAAACAACTGGAACTCAATAGATATATGTGATAATAGTCACACATTATATTTGATCAATTTCGCCGAATGTAAACCCCAATGTTTGGTTCAAAATGCAAATCACAGAGACGCTTCTTCTCTACCTGTGATGAGATCATGTATAGAAGCATGCTTTCAATAACAAATGTATGTAAATGTCAAATTTCGTTTAACTTGTCAAATATATTTTCAATACTTTCTAAAATGCTATATTTTGTTAATTGGAATCAATTCTGACATAATGAGAAGAAATTTACATTTATACAATATATGAACTATTGTACGTATTTCGCATTAAGAGTATAATATTTCAAGACCGATTCGATCTAGGTGACCGCGGGAAATAATTGATTTTTACGCTTTTCGTCCGACAATAACAAAGTAACATGTAAAATCACAGAAAGTATTAATCCTTACCGCAACAGTGATATACTATCTAATTAATATAATTATATCCAATGTTTGTATAACAGTTTTATACTTTCTAAATACTTAAAAATATGGTAATTCTGACATTTTAGAACCAATTGTATGAACTAAAATTCAGCATTAATGATAGTACAGTAGTGCCTTCATTAAAGGAAAGTTATTTATAGAAAGATTTAATGGGTGTGCTTCCGAAACAAATTTTCATTTCACCGATTCTTTTAAAAATACAAAATATAATCGATTCAGACAACTTCGCGCTATTTGTTTTCGCCCTAACACTACGATAAAGACTTTACGTTTTTGAAACGTATTGTATTCCCTATGCACCCATAAATAATTCTCATACCGATTACACAAGAATATTACAGAAAAATGTTTGCCTTTCATTTGTCTTGAATTGTGACTGGAAAAAGCTGAATGAAATTAAACCTACGTAGTGTGTTCAATAACTTATGTATGAACAATAAATATGAATCAATAAATATGATTTCACTTTACTGCATAAAAACAAAAGAAATTCACAATGCCGAAAACGGAAAGTTTTTATCGCAGTGTTGATGTTTGCTTTCAACAAGGTATGCTATCATTTTAGTGTTCCTTTTTTTCAATTTCATGCATTTAGTTTTCAAGTACATCTGATTTAAGATTCAAGGTTCTGAGATGAAACATTACTGTGTATGAAATTACTTAAAAATAACAACGAACGAACATATGTTTTTGAATTGTTTTTACACATGTATGTTTTAGATAAGACAACTGCCAGGCGTGTTATATGTACAAGAACAAACCTTAATCTATGGCAGTGATGTTACGTGGGGATTAGACAGAATTGATCAGCGTGAAAAGTTAACAGATGCTGGCGTAGTTGGATACAATCCACCAGGTCAGTGATATACATGTTGTGTTACATATATCAGTTAAATAATGTATATTGTAAATTACACGTATTGTCTTGTCTCGTTTTGCTATTGCATATCAGCATTATGAATACACTATGGACTATGTGACAAGAATGACGTGAAAGCAGAAATAACATCAGATATGTGAATAACAAAATGTCACGCAACTTATTGACACACAGTTCACTAAACAAGAGGCAATTTACACTACAATATATATTGTCAAATCAGTGAGAGAGAGATACTTTAATTACGTCATTGCATACAGTCAAGAAGTGTAATCAATTATCGCATTTTTCTCCATGTGTGGCAGCAACCGCCATATCAATGTACGTTTTAAAAGAAATGACCAGTAGTATGTCATATAGAGCACAAACCGAGAAATAAGATATCACGCTTGGAATATATAGTATTTTGATTCTTTGTCTTTAATTTTCCACTAATTCATTTTAACGAATCTAGTTTCATGAATAAATAAAGGAGAAAATGCATTTGCTTTATTGATAAATGTGCTCTTGCACAGAACTTGCACCTCCAGAAATTCTAGCATAATATTATGTTTTGCTCCATTTTGATGTTTTACATCAGTCTCGAATTACAATCGTAACAGCCGTTACTATTCATATATGCAATTATAATAATTTGTATTTAAATAACAGATACACATTTGATATATACAGCTTCTAAAAGAGACGACATCGCAAGCCACATTCTTTGAAACACATCTTTGATAGTAGTACCTCATATGTGAACATGTTTTAGAGTGTGCCTAAATCCAGCATCAAATCAGATTTCGAATGCTAAGCAGTTTCACTATTGAATGTAAGCGGGAAAGGCCATCCATCTAGACCTTAGTGTGAATATATTGGCAAATCTACCAAAAAACATACGATTTGCAATTTTATTGTTTTCATGCCAAAGTAATTATTGTAATTAGGACAGCGGATATGTGACAATGGGAACATTTTAAAAAATAATTATAAGGTAAAACAAAACATCGGGAAATTGACAAAAATATAATGTATTAAATATACGTACATTACAACATAGTGTGTACATATGTCCGGTGTATAGTGCCTGGAACGAATAAAGTAAAAGATGTTCACCGTTCATTGGGTTCATGAAATGTGTAAATGTTTATTGTTAAATAATTGCACAGTAACATTACGTAACGCTAGAACTCAAATATGGGTTTGTGCATTTATGTTTAGTTGATGTCCATATCTTTTCCTGTCACTGATTTAACCATGGGATGTAAAATACTTGTCGGGTTTTGGTTTTATACCTCGATGTCCATATCTTTTATGTTACTGATTTGATCATATGATGTAGTGTACTTGTCAGGTTTTGGTTTTATACCTCGATGTCCATATCCTTTTATGTCACTGATTTGACCATGGGATGTAAAATACTTGTCGGGTTTTGGTTTTATACCTCGATTTCCATATCTTTTTCTGTCACTGATTTGATCATAGGATGTAGTGTACTTGTCGGTTTTTGGTTTTATACCTCGATGTTCATAACTTTTTCTATCACTGATTTGACCATGGGATGTAGTGTACCCAATAACCAACTCGATAATAAAATTCATATTGAATATTTGCATGTGGATGTTTTAATTGGAATATTTGGATGTATTAGTATTGGAAATGATCAATATAACACTCTATCATTGGTATTTCATTATTTTAGGACATGGCGACGGAGTATCTGTCTACATAATGGACACTGGTATTGATAAAAACCAACAAGAGTTCGGTAAAAGACGTCATTCATTTTACGATGGAGTTAACTCTAAGGTAGGACAAAACGTCATTTAATTTAGCAACATACAGAAATTATAATAATAATATTGAAGTTGAAGTTGTATCCTATCCTAAAAATGGACCTAGATCAATGGCTGTCATTCCATGTCAAAAACTATCAGAATAAAAACAAACATACACTACAAGGGGAAAAAATTAGAAATGCATATTTATAAAATAAATGTAAGGATTACTTATTTAGATATTTCTAATAGTCTAGACTTGTGCAAACACAACGACATAGTTGTGACATAGTAAAGTAAAGTCAAGAAAATATTGAAGACCGTCATTAGATCGCCAGAAAACAATAGTATAAAAATGCACACCACTTTGTGGCGCTACATCACTTATGATGTCGATTGTATAAGCG